CGCCCTCTCTGCCTGGACGAGCGCTTCTGCCTGACAGGACATGCGGACGCTAGTTCCCAAAACTCCTGGAACGTCTCAGACCCGCTGTCGCCGAGCGGTCGACATGCATCTTTTCCAGTTGTCGATCGCCTTCGCCTCGAAACCGTCGACGAAAAGCGCCTCCATCGTGATCAACTGCTGCGACGGATTCAGCGCCACTTTTGCTTCGCTCATATCCCGCGCTAGCAGAGACAGAAAGGCGAAACGGCTGGGGTTGACAGCCTCCTCCACCGACAAGATGGCCCAGAGCAGATCCCACACCTCCTGCGGAACATTGGCCCAACCTTTGGCGAGGGTTTGCCGAGCCAGATTGTATGCCTTCCAGACTGACTGCACCGTCTTGGCTGTAATCGCCTCACGCAGCCGGAGCTGCTTGTCGACCCGCTCGAGAATGGCGTTGAGGCGACTGAGCCTTCGTCTCTGATTGTACGTCCACATTTCGGTCGGGATTTGTGGTACTGGGCGGCGTGTCTTGGGCTTTGCGATCGGCTGATCCAAGAATTCAAAATCGTTCTCAAAGTCGTCGTCGTCCATGTTCGTCAGGCGGTCCATCCGAAGCCCTTGCGCTTCCAATTTGTCCTCCAACTCCTTGATGTATTCGTCAAATCGTTCTCCGAGACCTTCAGGATCGTCGAGATTGCCCAGCTGGTCTTCAAGATCCTTCGCCACGGCGTCGGGGTCATCAATGCCCAGCTTCTTTAAGCTTCCATCCTGCTTCAAAGCGCCCAGAAGCTGCCGCATGTCGGATGCCAGGTCGAGCTTGAACTCCTTCTCCAGTTCACCTTTACCGTTGAGAGCATCGGAGAAAGCGTCGTCGTTGGGGAGTTCGGTGATGGCCCCCTTTTCATCCTTGTCGAAAAATCGCATTGTCGTCTCCTTTTCCTTGTTCAAAAGCTGTCTAAGGAGCGCGGCGGCAGCAGCACCTCCTGAGTGACCAGCCTGTCCATTGTTGCCTATCGGTAGCGAGAAGGGGTTTTGTGCTGGTGTTCGTGCAGAGGCTCGAGGGTTGCGACGTCCTTGGGTTTGTGTTCGGTGGCGCTGGGCCGCTTGCGAGCTATTCTGTCGGGTCTGCCATGTCACTGGAACGGGCTTTGCCAAGGTCGAGAGGCACGACTGGCAGACAAAATTGTTTCGACATTGCAGGTCGCGAAAAAGAGTGCGTTGAGACATGAGCACCACACGACAGCTCACAATCAAGACTTGCTCGGAAAGGGAAATGCAACCGCTGAAGCCATCAAGAGATTTTTCGATGGACCCTGACGACAACGCGCGACGCGGAAGGAAGTTGGGGTCGTGAATCTAATCGCAGCGCCTTATCTTATCGCAATCCACCAAGCCCCCCACCGAAAATTCCGACCGCCTTCTCTCCTCAGATCTTGCTCGACAGGTACGCCGCGGCAGAAAAAGATTATTTTCTCCTCCCATTGAAGCCATTGCATTTGCCCGTCTAAAGAGAGCCCTTGAGCCTCGACCCACGAGCTACGCCTGCTTGTCGACGACGCAAGCGACCGTCACCATGTCCTCGACGCCAGAGTTCCTCCGCTTCACGGGCCACCGGGCCTTCGCTCAGCGTCTGATCCTGTCGACACTCACCGGCCGTCCCATTCACATCTCCAAGATTCGAAGCTCATCACCAACACATCCCGGTCTCGCCCCGCATGAGGTCTCGTTCCTCCGTCTCCTCGAGGCCGTCACCAACGGCAGCTCGCTGCAAATCTCGTACACCGGTACGACCATCACATACCACCCCGGCCTCATCACCGGCACGATAGCCGGCTTCGGCGCCACCGATGGCGATGTCATCGAGCACACCCTGCCCGCCAACAACAACCGCGGCGTCACCTACTTCCTCCTTGCCCATCTGCCTCCTCGCGCCCTTCTCCAAAGCACTCATGAACATTCGCATCTCGGGGCCCGGCGTCATCACATCCGCCACCCAGACGGGCGACATATCGGTCGACTCGTTCCGCACCGCCATCCTACCCCTCTTCGGCCTCTTCGGCATCCCGCCCGCGCGCATCGAGCTGCGCATCCTGCAGCGCTCCTGCCCCGGCAAGGGCGGTCGCGGCGGTGGCGGCATCGTCGAGCTGCGCTTCGCCAGCCAGGTCCGCCTGCCCAAGACGCTGCACCTTAACCGGGGTCCCGGCAGGATAAAGCGGATCCGCGGCGTCGCCTACTGCACGGGCGTCTCGGCCTCGAACAACAGCCGGCTGATCCACGCCGCGCGCGAGGTCCTCAACCCGCTCGTCTCGGACATTCACATTGCCGCGCAATACGACCAGGCGCCGCTCATCCCCGGGGCCGACAAGACCAAGACGCGGACGGGGATCGGTTTCGGCCTGAGCCTCGTCGCCGAGTCGAGTTCCGTCGGCGTCATCTACTCGGCCGACCTGGTCGCGCCGCCCACCGGCGGTGTCGTGCCCGAGGACATTGGCAAGCAGTGCGCGTACCAGCTGCTCGAGACGATTGCGCAGGGCGGCTGCGTGAGCCGCGTGTCGGCGAGCACCGTGCTGACGCTAATGGCGATGGGGTCTGAGGACGTCGGCAGGTTGAGGATAGGAAGGGACGTTGTGGGCACGGAGGAGGTCGTCGGCCTGGCGCGCGATCTGCGGACGTTTGGCGCCAGCAGCTGGGGTCTGAGGGACGTCAACGAAGACGACGCGGACGACATCATCGTGTCGGTCAAGGGCAGCGGTGTGGGCAACGTCGGACGCAAGGTAGCATGAGATACCAACTGTAAGAATGTACAAGCGATTTTTTTTTTCATTTTTGCCCTTTTTTTAAGGCACGGAGTTCACGCCATCGCGCTGTAGTGTGCGTGCCATTCTATCTTGCTGTCTGATTGCTCCCGAATGCCAGCGTTCGAGCGCGGCCTGCGATTCGAGCCAACGTGGCTTGGTACCCTATCGACTGAAGCGCGTGGCCTACGGCACCCCAGAAGTCCGGCGTTGAGTTGCGCAACGTGTGGAAGACGTCCAAGTCTCGAAGCATGCCGTTTCCAGAGTTCATGACGTCGACCAGTGCGATCCGCCTCGTCGGCAGCGCTATTGGGGTGTCAGAGAGAAACGGTCGCCGCTCTTCCGTGTCCCCTTCTGCGCCCAAAGGTTGGCTGTCGTTTCTTCGGAGGGACTGCATCTCAATGCCTCCATTTTCCTCCCCGTCCGCCACGCCTGCAGCATGATTTTCGTCGGAGTGATGTTCACGTCCCTCAGAGATCGAATCCGCAGCGCCGAGATCCTCAGAAAGCGCCGTGATAAGCCGCGAGCGTTTCGGGCGCGTGATCAGTCGGAGTCTCTCTCTTTCGACGTGGCCTGCGAGCATGAGCCCCTGAACAGCCAATATCACCAGGTCCAGGGCAAGAAGGGTCAGCCTCGACGCGGGAGGCCTCTGACCGATGAAGTCCACAATCATGCCCCCATGCAGATACCCGCGCGACGTCTCAGCAGCTGTTGGTAGGGATTCAAAGATGTGCGCCAGGACGCACAACAGCGCCGGGAAGAAGACGGAGAGGATCTGCGCCTGGATAGCAGGCAGTGGTATTGGCCAGTCGTCAGGCTTCGGACTGAGGAAGTTTTGCTGACACCACGCTCGCATGAAGAAGCGGACGGCAGAGCATCTAGGCATGAAGTCAGTGGGCTGTCGATGGTATCCAGTGAAGGAACGAACATACTCCATGTAGTATTGCGCCGCAAGCTCGGCATAGACGAGCATGTCCAGGTTCTTCAGCAGATGTGTCACGAAATCAAACTTCTTGACGAGTCCAGCGTCGGGCTTGATCGTCTTTCGCCGCCGTCGCCGCCGCGAGGACCGAGTGCCGGGTTCATGGTCGCGTCCTACAGACGAGGGACCGTTGGGAACGTGGGTTTCGTCGCGCTGGTTGGCAGTCGAGTTTGTTCGGGACGCCGGCGAGATAGGCGGGGAAGCATCGTTCATAGCTCGGTCATCTCATGGGCTCCCAAGTGAGAGGCGGGAGATCATGGCTTCCTGCAAAGGAGCTGTAGAGTGTGTGGGGGCGGAGGGGGGGGGGGCGTTCGCAAGAATGTCGACGTCGCGTTGAATCTTTCAGTGGCCCAGGCGTAAGGCTACAGGGGGCGACGAGCAGCAAGTGACGCCATTCGCGTGTTCTGAGCTGCCAAACGCCCGGACCACGGGAGAGCTCCACCTCTTTATGTCGAGTTCCTGATGCAGTTGCCACTGACTGGACTGGCCGGAGGCTGGAGAAACGAAATTACGGAGGGACCCTGAAGGCCCCTGCCAGCTATGGACCACATCTCGCTGCTTTAGATGCTCAGACAGGAGTCAACTGAGTTTCAACGAAACTAGGTACCTAGGCACGGTACTTCATCCTGACTAGCAGTGACAAAAGAATTATCGCAGACAGTCGTGTTTATTGACAAGTTTCGTGTCGGTCTTCTCACCACTTCTGAGACGACCGTTAAGCGAAGTGGTAATTGTCACAGCGAGGTGTGCTGAAGTACTGCAAGCCTGAGCAGATAAAAAGGACCAAGTGGTCTCCGTTCCAGTTGATATCGAAAATCAAATATACGAAAGACATGCGGCGAGAACTCATTGCAGACTTGGCAATGTTGTCTTTGCCTTTATGATCAATGCTCATCATGGACCTAGAATAGTTAGACAAATCGATGACAACAAGATGAAAGTCACGACAGCAAGAAATTCTGATCGAGCTTGAAGCGGAATCAACAAGCCCAGGTCTACGTCTCTATGGACGCTAGACACATACTGGGACTTGGAGAAGACGGCCACATCCTAAAATGTATTAGTATAACAAAACTCCCAATGTAGAGCTAGTAGTGATGGACCGACCGCATAAAGGCAGAGTGGTGCGGGCAGAGGGGCCGTTTGACAAGCGATACATCCAGTAAAAGAAAACAAGCAGCCTCAGAACCTATGGCCTCTTAGAATATTTCAGTAGGCTCTAAATCTCGCATAAAGCAGACGCCGTAAGAATGCACGCCCTCCTCATAGCTCTCAGCCCGACCTGGTTGTCTAGGGTAAGAGCGGCGAGACCGCTAGTCCTAACCAGCCCGGCCTGCCATTCCCCTCCCCCAAACGCTGGAGGGCGCACTGCCCGCTCTTGATTGCCCCGCCATTTGGAGGCGCCATAATTATTTCTGCCGAGACCACGTTGGTGACTCAAGCCGTAGGTCGCAGCTCAACACAGTGCAACACCTCAACCACGAGCTCCCGAACGCTCCCATACTTTCGCCATGACGACAAGCAGTACCGTCCCCTCGGGGGACTTGGCAACCCGCATCTTGCTGGCGCTGTCCCAAAAGACCCGATCCTGTCTGCCGAGTCGTTCCCCGAGTCCGCCTTC